GACCTTGCCGTGCACTCTGCGTGGCGGTCGTGCCGAGCGCACCGTGCAGCTGCTGGAGAGACCTCATGGAAACCAGGCCGGGGAGCGCAACGGTGCTGCCGCGAACCCGGCATTGCGCTGAGCTGCCCCCGTTTACGCCCTTGTTGTTATTTCTACATGAGTAATTTTGGACTCCACCCGGAAAGGCAATATCCGTGTACACAGCATATCTTACATAAAAGTGACATTTGGAAGTGTAGGTTTCTTTCTGTTCTTCAGAAGGTTGTAATCTGCGAGCTTGTCTTTCTAGACATACTTTATAGCTAGGTATCAGACTGACGTGTGTTCTGTCCTGCATTGCAGGTGTTTTTGCTTATCCAGAGGTAGCATCTTAGAAAGGTAATGTACCTTGTATTGTGCAATCTGCTGGGTTAATTTTAAGTGCTAGACAAGCCTAAAATAAAAACAATATGCTTATTTTACTAAGTATGCAAATAACAGGCTTACAGCTTGGACAAGAAGTTGCGGGTGAAGAGCATGTAAAGTTAATGTCCAACAGCAATTACTCTTCCTTTTGACTGTATATCTCTTACCATTTATAGTATGCACTTGTTTTAAACTATAGTGTTTTTTTAATTGCATCTATATTACGATAGCATCTAGATATCTGTGTCATAATTGAGGATTTGCAGCAATCTGTACAAAATGATTTGTTCTCACAAGAAAATGACCACTTAAACTCTAAACCCAAGTGGAATTAAGTGGAAGGTATTGAGGAGGTGCACATGGGTTTTTTTTTTTGAAAGCAGTTGACAGATTGACTATTTTTCAAAGTGATCTACTTGAAACAGTTCTGTTTTACTCTCTTTTTTTTCTTTTTTTTCCTCCTCTGTAAATAATTATTTCTTGAGAATGGATTCTGTCATCAGGCCAAACTTCTTGTTTAATAAAAAATGTTGGGAGCGGGGACTTGGTACTGCAATTTTTCACTGAATGAAACACACCCATTGCAAAGTTCAGTGTGCTGCCTGTGAATAATTTCAGAGTTTTTTTTTTGATTAGCCCATGCAGTGTAGCATAAATATGCTCTGGAATAATAGTTCTATAGTTTTTTTTTTTTTTTCCCCTAACTTTCACATAATTGCTTCACACTGCCAAATTTCGGTATGCAGAGAAGGACCTGCTTGAAGGTCTTGCAGTCCCTGTTGAATCATTATGTAATAATATGATCCTTAATCTGATTTAATTGACTTGCACTCTGTTTACGATAGGCAAACAGAGGTGAATCTCTGCTGGGCTACCTGAAATATAGTAGTTTCAGCTGATACTGGTCACTATGTGTATTCTGTAGGTGATGTTTGCATACAATCACATAATTTCTTATTTCTAATTCTAATTTTTTATTTCTTTTATTTATAAAATAATAATTCACAAATTCGGATGTCTCCTTTAAGGTGAGTGTTTTTATGAGTGATTTTATTAGTGGTTTTATTCAGAGAGCAGCAGGCTATGCAGGATGACCAGAATAGCAGAAAGGTACACACTTATTGACATTGTAACCAGTTGTACTTTTTCTATCCTGTACTGCAAGCCCACAATTCAATAACATGTACTGATGTTAATTAGGCTGTTCACATAGCATTGAGAAAAAGCTGTTGAGAAGCATCACTACTTATCTGTTTAGGAGTACTATTGCTGGCCAAGGGAGCTTGAGTCTCCTCCTTTAGGGTTTTTTTTTTTTTTCCCCAAAGAATTGATGGAGGATTTTGTTTGTTTTACTTACAGTTCTGAGAGAAGCAATGAGACTGAAACTTCTGGGCCTTCTGACTAGATCTTCCTGTGTTTTAGCGGAAGTGTGCCGGTGCCAAAGCTTTAATAAAATTGGATGTCCAATATCAAAACCGAGCAATGAAGTGGACAGAACAATCCACAGAACAGCAGACAAGGTTTGGAACTTGTATACTCTGAAAACTGATACCCCTTGTTTGACCAGTCAGTGTGTCCAAATCAAGAATTGGCAGTTGCTGCAAGGAAATGTATCAACTTTGGGAAAAAAAGTACATTATCAGCATGGAGGGACATTTCTTCCACCCTGGAGAAGTACTGGTGCAGCAATGATGGAAAACTACAAACTCAATCCAGCACATATTAAAAAGCTTGGGAACATATCAGCAAGATGCTACTCAGTTGTATCAACTGGTAAAATTATTCCAAAACACGGTATCCAACCTGTTAAGAGGCCACCAAAGGCACCAAGGACCAAGCAGCCATCCAGAACTAACCAGCCACTACTGTCTGATACACAGGTAAAGTATGAAGTCTGTGGTCTGTATAGCATTGAGAGAGCTGTATGATTGACTTTAGATTTAGACACAGGTTTAGAAAAACATTGTAATAAAATTGATATATTTGTGAAGTGGTTTTCAATATTTACTCTAATATGGTCACAAAGGGATTGGAACAAACATAAATTAACTTATTAGAAACTAGCGTGTCTGGTATTTTGGAAGTAAAATGGAGATTTTAAAATTGTGTAACAAAAGTGGGGGAAAGATAACTGGTTCCTAAAACTGGAAGACATGAAATCCGTTAAAAGTAGTTTAAGCATAGCATCAAATCATGTTTAATACTGAGAAATAAAATCTAGTTTTCAGATACATTTAACTTTTCATAGGCATTGCTGCTTGTTCATTTAGACTGAAGGCTTAAAACTTCAGATATTTTTAACAGCAATAAAGATAAAAGTAAAAAACAATACACACATTAAATATTCAGGTTAGATTATGGAAGCTCAGGGTGTGTTCTTAAGTATGACTCTGCTTTTTTTTCTCTCTCTCTTTCTTTAACAGTCATAATATTTCAAGCCACAGTGAAAAAAGTTTAACAGTGTAGCCAAGTAAATTTGATTTCATTGTCAGTGATACAATGTGTTTTTTAGTAGCATATGATCTGTAAGTACTTAATACTTGAAACCATAGAAGTTTATAAAAATAGGAATTTATTTCTGTTCTGTCAGTGGGAAAGCTGACATGGATGTAGTCTGTTTTACTTAATGAAAATTGTTCTTTGTGTAGAAATAGTACTTTGATCTTCAGCCTACTAGGTATACAGACTAACTGCAACAAACTGCTGTGGATAAAGTCAGATACAAAGAGCAAGTAAGTGGAACAGTGCAAGTTTTATAGCCGCTAGTCCTTAAGTTTGTTCTTTGCAGGTCTTGAATATTAACCCAGGCACACATCAAGCATACCTTAAATATAGGATCCCCACAAAAATGACTAATGTCGAAAGTGTTATTGTTCTCTTCAAGGTACAATAATAGCAAACGAGTTCCAAGGTATTGCTCATAAAACAGTACTATAGCTGAGACCGAGGCAAGTGTTGCACTTACCAGAAATAACTTCCATGTTGCAAAACATGCCCATTTCTTGTTCTGTTGAATGTGTAGAGAGAAAATAAAGTTTTAATCCTTCCCTTCTATTGATCTAAGTTCCTGTTCAATATGTTGTGTAATTAACAGGAATATGCTTTAATATGAAGATTTCATTATAGACAATTTAGTTCCCAAATAAATTTTCCTGCTGCTTGGAAGAGAGAAAAAAAAGTGCAGAAAGAACTAGTTCTAAAATCCTTCATACTCTATTTCAGGCTCGTTATTCATGCTATGACATTATGTTCAGAGCCAGTTTCTTTTATTTGCAGAGTGAATCAAAGTGACAATTTTGTAAACTCTTGAGGCTTGTGAAGGGCACTACAGATTGTTAACAATTTTCTTGTTTCACAATTTCACATATATATACATATGTGTATATAATATGTAGGTAAATACATATGTAAGTAATATGCACAGCTATTTTTACCTTCTTGCATTGTGAAGAAAGATAAAACTCAGCCTGAAATATGGAAATAATAATATGCTTCCTGAGGAAAATTTCACACTGTACAGAGCAGTGATGGAAATCGCACAAACTCAGACCTAACGTTTGCTGTTTTGGAACAAACCTTTTTTGCTTTTGCCTGACAGATAGCAGGATGACACAGGCTGGCAACTTTTCTAAATGAGCTTTTTTAGATATTTCCATATCTATATGTAGTGCAGAGAACTAACCTGAATATGTGACATGTGACTGATATTCTACAATGTGACTGATACAAGTCCAGCAAATGTAAAATCTTTCAGTTTTCTTCAATGGGCTGTCTGTTTTCTCTAAATTGTGGTGTCATGAAAAGCAGATCTCTAGATCTCTCTTCCTATATCTGCTTTGAGGTTAACAAGGGCCCTTCCATAGCATAGGCCATATTGTCACTGCACTTGGCTATCAGCATCCTGCTGTTCTTTCTTTTCTCATAAGCTGCCTTAGTAGTTTGTAATAATTTGTCCTTTGAACGCTAACTGTAAATCTGCTCTTAAGATTTTCTGTTATATGAGCCGTGAAAGCCTCTCAGGTGTTTTCTTCAGAATGGCTTGACAGTTGATGACCTTTATTTGCAGTACACTACAGGAATAGGCTGCTTCCCATCCTTCCCAGCTCACATCTTCATGTGTTGTTTATGGGTAGAATGCCAAGCACCAAAAGGACCAGTTTTTCAGGATAGATGGAGGAGTTCCTTGAAAGTGGTTAACTGGCTTAGTCAGTTCCTCAGTGATTAGCACTGCCTCTCAGTTTGGTTAATCTCATAAGGTCTGAAGGCATGAACAGTGGCTGAGCTAATTGTTAAAGCTATAGCCATGTAGTTTAGAGAAAAAAAAAGACAGTTAAAGATGTCATAGTTGCTCCCCCCTTAAGAATGGTTCTGATGTGATGTGAGGATAAGTTCATCCCACAGGTCTTCTTTCTGAAAAATATCTGTATCCTTAACATGGGATGGATGAACTAAGTGGGAAATTATAGTGTTTGAGGTATGTAACATGAACCTTCACTGCTGGGGTTTGGATGCTGTGATGATATAGAAGCTGAGTTGTCAAGGGACCTAGGCTGGCTAATCTGCTAATTGTTTCAGTTCTCAGAATGGGGTTTTAATGAATCCCACAGCTTTATTTAGAAAGGAAGCCTGTGGAGAGTAGTTGTTGTTTCTAGAATCAGTACAGATCATACATTCTGTTCCTTCAAAATTTGCAAGTGAAGTTGATGTG